TTTTTTGCTTATCTTTAAGTTATTTTTAGTTAGATGACCACTCCAATTGCATTACTTGTTGTTTAACCTTTTATAATCATTAAATAGTTAGATATAGAGATTGAAAAAATCATAGAGTTAGGTTATACTCATTAGTAACTTTAGTTGTGTTAGAGAGTATTAGTTATCCATGTTATGTGCTTGATTAATTGTCTTGATCATAGATAAGAAAATCACTAGATATTATCATTTTGTAACATCTCAAAATTCATAGTAAAATTTTCAATTTTAAAGCTGTAAACCATACAAAGAGTTGTTCCAAAACCGATTATAGTGAGTCTATTATTTAAAAATCAGAGTAAAGATCATAATTTGCCAATGTGGAAAACTCTAGGGGATGTTGTGCAGTCACATCGGACCCTTCCCTTTGTAGTGGATGTACCTGAAACCATAAACATAAAATCGTACGAACAAAGCTTAGTGAGTTCCCCAAAATACCACATACCATACATACAATAAAGATTGTTATGTGCCAACCATAGTCTTGTCGTTATGCCATGAGTCGTATCATGGTCTTTCCTTGTCAGACCAGGGGCCAAAACCCTAGGTCTTACAGACAAGTGCCAAGAGCCACCTCCTAATGTAACATCTCAAAAGTTCAAACAAAAATTTCATTTTTAATTCAATTCAAAACATCCAGTAATCATGTCAAAACAAGCAAAGTGTATCATAGTGAAATAATATCAAAGTACAAATCTCCAAAAACATGGGCGGATGTGGTGCGATCAAGATGGAGCCTTCCCTTTCGAGCTGGAAGTACCTAAAACATAAACTGAAAACTGTAAGCACAAAGTTTAGTTAGCTCTCCCAAAATACCCCATACCATAAAACAACTCAAAAGTCAACACGCTCTCAAAATCCCACAACGGGTGCTAGATGCCACCTAGATAATCACACAAGGCAAGACCTTAATCTATCTACTAAGATATTAACAATTGAATAGAAATCAAAAGTCCAAAGTCAACCCTCAAGGTCAATGGTCAAAATCAATAGTCAATGTTGACTTCAACCGACCGCCACGACGTGGTCTTCCTTGGCCACACCGTGGTCCGCATGCGATCCAACAGACGGGAAAATCCCAACCGCCACACCGTGGTTACCTAGGACCACGTCGTGGTTGTTGATATCCCAACAGCTTAATGCATTGAGCTGTTTCCTTCGATTCAAAGAGCTCCAAAGCTTAGATATGGACATAAATGTGATCTAAAAGGATAACGTTTTCAACTTTCTCCATTAGGACCATCCACAGGTCCCAAAAAGGCTTAATAAGGCAAGAACCTAGCCAATAAACACTTATTCCAAAAAGGTCTAAAATCCATCCTTTCTAGAAGTGATTCTAGCACTAAACTAACCTAAAAGTCCAATAACCTAGGGCCCAACTAACCCCTCTTCCGAAAACAAATGGCCCCCTTACATAACAACACCTTTAAAAGAAACATGTCCCCAACCTGAAACTCTAACTCATAACAATGTCTGTCAGCATAACTCTTTTGTCGACTCTATATTGTCTTAAGGGTAAATAGTCATTTTATGTCTTTATGGACGACCTGAGTGAAAAAAACGTAATACAATGACTGTTCGAGTTAATTTTAAAAAATAGAGACTAAACGTGCCTTTTAACACATATACGATGGACAATTCGTGTAATTTACTCATTCTTTTATTTCATCATCTTCTAAGTCTATTAGAAGAAAAATCAAGTGTTCAGAGGGTCACCAAAGAACAAAAGAATGAATAAAGAGGTAAAGAAGCAAGATAAGAGTGGAAAAAAAATATATAGTTTTAAAGATCAACACAACGCGTTAACAAGATGCTTTGAGACTGATCTTAATTGGGATGTCATTCCAAAAGTCAAAGGTCAACTTTCTGTTCACTATGTAACCAACTCCATTAATTGAAAAAGCTTTTAGTAAGCAATAGTTTCAACTCTTTTTCAAGAATTTTGTTAGACAAATTGAAGAAACAATTTTGATTCTGTTTGCAATTTTTTCAATTTAATATGATATTTTGATCCACAAATCTAAAATATTCATTGATATTAGTTTTATCATTTGCACTTACCATTAGCCTCTTAGCTTTTATAGGGTCCATATATGGTTTTAAGAATCTTAAAGACCTATAAGAAACACACATAGTGTAGGATGATGAGTTCCCACACTAACATTTCTATTTTGTGATTGACACCTTTTAAACACTCATTGACATCAAAAGTTAAATACGTATAGCTAATTTTTTCAGAAAACAATACAATTTCAACCAATAAAAATATTTTAAAAACTAAATAGAATGTCTATTTGATAAAATATCATGTCTTTTTAACCGCCCTGTTATTTTGACACACTCATTTTCTAGTTGAATGTATGCTATTCCTACCACCGTTTTATCGTATTTTTTTTAAAATATGGAATTGATGTTATATTGTTGTTAATTAAGGAATAGAAAGTTTGCCAAGACAATGTTTTCAACTAGCGTGCCTATTGGTTAAATTATGCTATTTTAGTTTAGATTCCTTTATTTGAATAGATCTCAACTCAAACTAAAAACTGATCAAGCTAATTCAAGAGTAACAAAATTAAAAGGAAAAATAAATTCTAATCGGTTTGGTTTGGTCATCCTGAATTCGATTTTTAGGACATTAGTGAATTCACAAGATTTTAAGCCGATAACCTAACTTTCAACTGAACAATACTAATCTTGGATTTAAATATAACTTTATTGTACATAATTAAATATAGGAAATTGGTTTTTGTAGGTTCTGTTTGGTCTTAAGATCGTTTAAACCCATTTTGGCACACCAATATTTTCAACAAAAAGAGAATCGTGTATTGTTTGTAATGTGGATGAAGTATTTGAATATTTGATCTCAGAAACGACATTTAAGATGGTATTTGAATATGTTTATTTTGCAACAAAATGATGTGTACAACATGATCACATATAAGATGGTAAAAACCCGTTAATATTTCTTGTTAATTTATTGCTAACTTGAAAAACAAATTCATTTTTGTTTTTCAATCAATAATATTATGACATATTGTATGCAACTCTAACTCGATTTCAATTCAAAATCCATTCTAATCATCCAGATTCTCAGATTCGGGTTTGCTTATGATGAAATTCTGTTTATATGTTGACTTTGGAAGTCAATTCCCAAAATCTTGCAAGACAAAATCGATGTGAACTTTCTTGTTCAAATATATAACTCTATTGCCATAATCCAATTTCTAATGACAAGAACATTGCTACTTACTATTTACTGGTTAACAATTTATTGTTTTAGAAGTTGGATTTTTGTTAGTGATACCAGTTTTCATATAAAAGTTCAATTTAAAAACTATATAACATGACACCCAAAATGCCTAACTTTTATCTCAAATCCCTACTCCTTATGTTATAAAACCAGTTTAAGCAAAAAACACAACACCTATAAGGTCAAAATCTGATCTAAAATCAATGACTTAACACCACAAAACACCCAAAAAGGTCCAAATTTAATCCAAAATCATCAGTTTAAACTAACAACAGAGGGCTTCTAAATCTTAAAAACACTTTACAATCCAACATAAAATGCTCACAAGATCATCTTTGGATTCAATATGCTTACCCTGAAATTCGAGTTTAAACTTTCATAGTTACATTCAAGTTCTTATAGCAGAAGATCAGTTGAAGAAAAGAGATCATGAAATTGTAACTTTTATAGTCGTGATATATGACTGTATCATTAGATTATACAAGATTCTACATGATAACCCTGAAATTCGATTAAAACTCAAAAAAAATTGCACAAAAAACTTACAGATTTGTAACATGAGAGCATTATCATTGCTCTGCACCACTCTCTTCTTCCAATTTCTTCACATACGCCTTCAATGTCATAATTAAATTCCTCGCCGGAGCTTGCAAAGTCCCCACCACCGACGTCGCAGGGCCCTTCAAAGAACCCAACAAGTTCGCATAAACCTCCGCTCTCGTCGGCATAGTCTCCAACGCCTTAAACTCCTCCGGTGGATAATACTTCCCTTCAAAAACCGCTCCACTGAAATCATTCTCTTCTAGCTTCTTCTCTTTCTGAAAAGTCCGGTAGGGTTTAATAGCAGCCGGAATCTCCTCGCTGTGAACAAACATCCACGCATTCATCCCCTTCATACACGGCTTCAATGCTTCCCATGGCGTGCCTTCAATTGCTTTCAAGACCAATGTGTTCTTTGCAACTATGAGTTTGGTGGTTTCCGGGAGGGTTGTACGGAGCTGCTGGAATTGTTGGACGGTGAAACCTTGGTATTTGATGCCGGCGATGAGGTAGCAGTCTTGGAGCTGTTCTTTGACTGTTTCGATCGTTTCTTCTTTCTTTGTACGGCTGATTGCGGAGCGGATTGTGAGGGGTACGCGGTTGGGTTTACGGTGGGAAGTGGTGGTGGAATGGAGGAGAAGTGGGTTGTGGAAATGGGTTTTCAGGGATACGGCGGTGGAAGCCGGTGGTGGGAATTTGGAGGACGGGAGGGTGAAAAGGGTTGCTTCCATTTTTCTATGGATTGGGGAAGAAGATGGAGGTGTTGATTTTTGTAGTGACAACAACTTACCTTATCTCTTGCATCATGGATTTGCCAGACGAAACGACGTCGTTGTATGGACTGAAATTTAAAATATTTCCAAGAAAGACCTAAAATTGTAAATTTTTTAAACAGTATGCAAAGTATGTATTTTTTGAAATAATACAGGGACTGATTTACTACTTTCTAATTAATTCGACACAACATGAATCACACTCCGATTATATATCTTTTTAGTTCTACTCTGAGATAATATAAAACCCTAGAATGATCGATTATTATAAGTTGATTCGTAGTTTGTGCAATCAATTCGATCGATATTCTCGTACGAACAAAATATTAGGATATTCAAAGTTCGAATTTGTTCTGTATTAAGAGGATGCCTCCGAAACAATCAAAAGCGGAATTAGCGAAGAAGCAGAAAATTGTGGAAGACAAGACATTTGGACTTAAGAACAAGAACAAGAGCAAGAATGTTCAGAAGTATGTGCAATCACTTCAACAGAACGTACAACCTAAACCCGATGCTTCCAAACTTGCTGCTAAGGTATCTATTTCGATTGGCTGTTTCGATTTTAGTGGATATCGAGGGATTAGCTGATCTCAATTGAGTGTTGATTAATTTTAATTTCCAATTTTACAGAAAAAGAAAGAGGAAGAGAAGGCTAGAGAGAAGGAATTAAATGATTTGTTTAAGATTGCTGTTGTTCAACCGAAAGTACCTCTTGGTAGGTTTTTGATTTACTCTAGCAATTTGATCTTTTTATTAGGTCAGATCATAGTTTTATTGATGAATCCTGGATTCGAATTGCTTTGGTTAGGGGTGGATCCGAAGTCTATATTGTGTGAATTCTTTAAAGCTGGTCAGTGTGCGAAAGGATTCAAATGCAAGTTTTCTCATGATCTGAATGTACAGAGGAAGGGTGAGAAGATTGACATCTTCAGTGATAAGCGTGATGAAGGTATATATATATTTTTTTGCTTAAGTTATTAAATTTATCATCATTACTTTCTTGTGATGACTTGATATGGAATATAAGTATTTCTTTGATCTGCAATATGGTTTTAGGAACAATGGAGGATTGGGATCAGGAGACATTGGAAAAGGTTGTGGAATCGAAAGGGAAAGAGTATAACCAGAATAAACCAACTGACATTGTATGCTCTCTTAATCTCTTTAAACTTTTTCCAACCATGTTGATATTATTCATGACTCCATATGTTCATACTCTGCCAACTGTTTGTATAAAAATAAAATAAACACAAACCCATAAACAATGTTAATATTATTCATGCTCCAACCTCTAAAATCTAAATCAAATCCTACTTTATCTTTGCCAATGTTTCAGGAGAGTTGTATGAATCAAAGGCATTGGTGCCTTTTGTCAGGTGCTATTTTTTCTACCTTACAGTGATAAATATCAATTCTATCTCTTAAACTAACTGAAAACATAAACATTATGAACCCTTTTAACAACCATAATGATTATCCTCACATTGTTTGACCTTTTTAGTCACCAAAGTTGATGAATTTGCATATCTATGCATCTAAATTTCTTGGCATTAGCCATGAAGTTATGATAATTAACTTTTTATGAATTCATGAGTAGGTTTGCAAGCATTTTCTAGAAGCAGTGGAGAAGAAACAATATGGATGGTTTTGGGTTTGTCCCAATGGTAACAAAGAGTGTCATTATAGGCATGCTCTTCCTCCAGGTTACATTCTTAAGTCACAAATGAAAGCACTTTTGGAAGAAGAATCCAACAAGCTAGCTATTGAGGATGAAATTGAAGATCAGGTTGGTATTTTTTATTATATTTTTTCATGTAACTTTATATATGTGTATTTTTTTAGTTACTTAAATGTCATTCTTTACTATTTTGCATTAGAAATTGGTTCTTACTAATGTTTTTTGATTTTGTTTAGCGTGCAAAAGTGAAAACCACAACTCCAATGACTACTGAACTATTTTTGGAGTGGAAGAGGAAGAAGGTGGAAGAAAGAGATGCTGGTTTGGCTGCTCAAAGAGCAGAGAGGGCTAAAAATGACCGAATGAGGTTTGTTAGCTCATATAATTACATTTTTGCCCCTATGTTATAGTCTTTTTTTTGGGGTTTGGATCAAAAAGGAATCTTTTTAACCTTTTTCTTTGTTTTTGTCCTTTTGGTATTATTATTATATATATAACTCTTTTGGTCGCTGACACCATACATTGAAGGGTGTTAAGTGTGCGTAAAATGACCATTTTGCCCTTACTTTGACAGTGGTCGCGAGTTGTTTCTATCTGATGCTAGTGTGTTTGTGGATGATGCTGAGGCGTATGAGAAGTATCACCGCGAAGAAGAACCTGATAACAACATGAATAAGGTATACTCTCAAGTTCCAGTTAAACATGTATCCTTGCAAAAAGACATGAATGCCCTTGTCCTGACCATGCGTTAACCTTTGATTGCAGGGACAAAATGGTACTTCTACTGCTGGACCAAGCACATCGACAAGTGTGGCTGATATTGAAGAAGAAGATGATGATGATCTAGATATGGATGAATTGAATGAACTTGAAGCAAGCTTGTCAAAAGCATCCGTTCAAATTAAAGAGCCCCAAAAATAAATCTAATTTTTATTTTTCTTATCGAATTTCAGAAGCTTAACTTATTGCTCATGTGTGCTTGTGTTGCTCGATTTTCGATCATCTATGTTTTGATTGTTGAAATAAAAGTCCAAATGGTTGTTTAACATTGTAATGTATTGCCCACAGGGCATAGATAAATGTCAAGGATACAAGTCTAACAACTGCAATTGCAATGGGTAATATAAGTGTCCACAAATAGCAACAAATATACTTGTTATTAAAAGGGAAAATATCACGATGCCATTATGTTTTTAGGTTTATATTTTGTAAACTGATGTTTTATTATCGAGAAGATGCTACGAAAAACTAAATGTATACAAGGAAATAACAAAAAACTAAATGTATGCAAGGAAATACATATTTCTTTGCACCGGTAGCTAGTCTTTCCCATTTAGTTTGATGAATGTGATATTGCACCCTTTTGTCATGTACAAAGTTTTCGGAAAAATTATTGGATTGTTTGAAGAACTCCGGAACAATCAAGTATCCTTGATGAGTCTTTGGAGAGATCGCGAACATATTACGAGACCCTGCAAGATGTTAGAAAATTATAGAAGTCCTTAGAAAAATATAGAGCGACCGAGAATGATCCAGAAGATACAAGATGAAGCTATAATAAATCGGATGACTCACTACAAATAAAATATCATTTAATGGCACACAAAAAGTGCCACTAAATACCTAAAAAGCGCCACTAAAAGTCTCTTAGAGAATTAGGAACACAATTACAAAGTGTCATTGAAAGCGCTTCCATTAAAACCTTTTAGTGATATTTTTCGATTTTGCTGCTGCAGGTTTTTAGGTCTTTAGTGACACTTTTTTATTTGTCACAGTAGACAAAAAATCTTTTGTGGGACATATTTTGTGTCAATAATTACTCATGTGCTTTAGAGTTCACGCCACTTTTAGTAGCACTTATTATTTGCCACAGGAAAATATTTTGTAATGTCATAAATATCCACACAATCTAGAATTCATGTTACTTATATAGACACATTTTTTGCTAAAATATAAAATATAAAACTAATTATATTGTCGTCTATGAAAAATAAGAAAAACTCCATTGAATCAAATGTCTATTTAAATGTCAAATAAGTCTAAATGTAGAACAAATTACACACTAAACATAAAAATAACTAATAAAAGTAAAAAATAAAACTTAAAACTTCATTATAGTGGAACCTACTCCCCAAAATTCTGTTAGTTTGAAATGACACCCCATTATTAGTAAATTCATTATGTAAGGGTTCACGTAGGAATCTGTGATTGACATGACACCCCATTATTAGTAAATTTAATCATGAGGAACTTCACGGTCTTCTTATTTCTTACTCATTACAACAATGAAGTTATGAAACAAACTTAGTAAACGTCTATCTCTTCTTTGACCTCTTCCTACATAGAATTCACATTAGATTTAATTTTTAATTTTTTATTTTTCACTTTATGTCCACTACAAAAATCTAACCTTTAATCTGGCTCATTTTCTACTTCATCTTCTGGCTCTGGTTCATGTAGTCAAACCAAGTAATTTGGTCAATAAAACCAACCAATCTTCATAGTGAAATTCAAATCAAGGTGAACCGGATGTGTTAGGCACCCTCTCTACGAAGTTTAGATAACAGGCAGTTTGGGAAATCAACAAATAAAGGTCATCTTATTAGTGCAGGTGAATTAGGGGCATTTTAGCCATTTATCAAGGTGAACCAGATGTGTTAGGCATCCTCTTCAGTCATGTTAGTTTAGATAGGGGTAGTTTGGGAAATCAACAAATAAAGATAATCTTATTAATGCAGGAAAATTAGAGGCATTTTATATTATTTAGTTTGTTATGACATGTAGTATAACCAATCTTCAAAGTGAAATTCAAATCAAGGTGAACCAGATGATACATACATCTTTATCAAAGTCACCGTCGAAACTTCTACAACCTCTTTTTCTTCTACATAGTTTGTATCATCTCATGCCTGAAAAGAATGCAACAAAATCATGTAAAAAATTATATAACCTAAAGGACACTTACATATTTCTTGTTGTTAGTTAATTACATCTTTTAAAGGATCTTGGTTCCGAAGCTCATCATCCTCTCCACTATCATCATCAAATAACTTGTTGGGGTGCAAAGTTCTCCTTGGATGTGATGTAGGCTTGCCCTCTTAGGGATGTGTAATGGGTTGAGATTTTCTTACAGGGGCGGAACCATAAATCTTTTTCAGGAGTAGCACAATTTTTTTTCTATAAAGATTAGTGGCCAAAGATTTTTCATGCCCATGGCAAACTATGTTTTTCCTATATCTGCTATATAAAGACAAGTTATGACGTGAAGGATCTTATTTCCTTAAAGCATGATGTTTAGCGAACTATGGTATAAAGCTTTTACTTTATTTGATGTTAAAATTGAAATGGATTGAGAAATATCAAGATTCTCAATGTTAAAGTGGTATTAGTGTTGGCGCACCTGCATCAGTTTTGATATAGATAAGTAAAAAAAAATTGATATGTAAAAAAACATGAAAGGGTAAAAAAAGGTATTTTACTTCATCAATCCATGGAAATAACCCTTCTTTTAGTTCATTAGCATAGCAACATAGCATGTTGTATGTTGTAGCTTTCTCCTTAAGGACACTAGTTTTGATCCATATTCTCTTATTTCCAATTGTGATGGTCTCAATGCTGCAATATCAATAGCCATTTGTTACTCATCATAATTTCTAAACAGAAGGGTAATTATAAACTTTAATTCAAGATGATTTTGCAGTATAAAATAAAGTTCAATAATAGTAAAAGAAATGATGCATCCTTGAATCATGTAATAAGTTATAAGTCTCTAAGATGCAAAAAGTAAAACATTTGTAAATTAAATATATAATCTAGCTATCACCCACGAATATACACCTGTTTAGCATCATCTTTGAACTTATCTTTTCCAATAACCGTTCCAACCAAACTAATACACTCCATGGATTTGGCACAAAGCATGAGATTAGCTTTATCAGTCGTATTCATGAGTATAGATTTCAAGTAAGGATGAACAAATATAATTTCCTTAAATTAATCAAATATTAATCACAATCACAAATCTACACAAACACTCTGGAACGCTATGTAAGTCAAAGTGAGAAATCCAAAAACCTAGAATTATTGAATTAAATCAAGGTTACTTTCTAGCTCTTATTTGAAATCATATTAATTAAGGTTACCTTCAATTCCAAATTGGAGAAATCAGGTTTACCTTCATCTTCGTTTATTAAGGATATCTTCATTTGATCCGTTCTCTCCACCTCTCTTCTTCTTTGATCAACCCCTGTGAGTAGCACTTCTTCTTTGAATTCCAGTCCCTACGACCCTGCCCCTTTTAGAGTAAGACATAAGATCGATTTTGTGAAGACGATGGAGATAACTAATAAGACATAGGGATTGATTTCAGTCCCCTGTCCCTTTACCTTTTGTAACAACCCAAAATACGACCCAAATTTTTTTGTTTAAATAATACTAAAACCATAACATCGAATACCATAAAGTAAAAACCATACTTCAATATCTTAAAACCATAATAAAGTGTCGTGATAAAAAAACTGTATCAAATTTCGTCAAATCATATCTAAGAAAAACTAAACCAACTCCCAAGATAAAACTAAAGCTGTGGTGTGTGCAATGACATCATCCTGAGCCCTTCCCTTTTCTTGCGGAAGTACCTGAAACCAAAACTGAAACTGTAAGCACGAATCTTAGTGAGCTCCCCCAGACTACCACATACCATACAGTCATATAAACACATATTGGGCCTTGCCCACTGCATCAGACCAAAGTCCGGAAATTGCATCGGAACGAAGTCCAAAACTAACCAGGGCCTTGCCCTCTGCATCAGACCGAAGTCCGGAACTGACTGGGACCTTGTCCCCTGCATCGGACCGAAGTCCGGAACTAACTGCATCAGACCGAAATCCGGAACTGATTGGGACCTTGTCCCCTGCATCAGACCGAAGTCCGGAAACTGACTGAGCATAACATAGAATAGCATATACATATCAAGTAGCAGAAACACATATACTGCATACTGCATCGGACCGAAGTCCGGAACACATAACACAAGACATGCTTGAATCACAAAGACATCAAGCACACTGAACTACTGCATCGGACCAAAGTCCGAAACTACTGTTAACTAGACGGACCGGTATTGTGGCCGTAGACCTGTTCCTACTGGAAGGAAAACTCACCTCGAAAGCTGGCTGCTGAAACTCTACCCGAGAATTGTCTGCTGCTGATCCGGTCTCTCCCAGCTATAATTCCCATAAACACACTCAATCAACTACTGATAACTATACTGAGGGTAAAATGACTATTTTACCCCTGGTCAAAGTCAACTTCCAGTTGACCGGTACTCGCCGAGTCAGGGCGCAGACTCGCCGAGTCCCTCCTTTACTAATTCTAACTTTAACTCACCGAGCCCCTTTCCCACTCACTGATTCACTCTGAACTCACAACTCGAAGGGAAAACGGGGACTCGCGACTCGACTCGTCGAGTCTGAAGAACAACTCGCCGAGTCCAAATGCAGATTCCATGCAATCGAATTCTAATCCATTACAGGGCCTCTAACTCGTAGATCTGAGCCCTTGGGACCATCTGAACACGTAAAGTTGCAGACTTTACGTGTAACTACGAAGGAATGAAGCCATTTCACTCAAACACTACTTTTCTCGGGTAAACTCATACGACTCGCCGAGTTGTAGAACAACCAGTCGAGTCTAAGGCAATCTTCATCGGACGCGCCGAGTTGCTCATCCAACTCGTTGATTCCAAGGCTATCTTCATATGACTCGCCGAGTCCATTCAGTCCCTTATCCATACATGCCTGATTTGAGCCATGCAGCGGCTCTAAGTCACAGATCCATGCTTCTAGGGCATGCTTATCACGTAAAGTTGGAAACTTTATGTGCATGCATGGCTTTAAAGGCTTCAAATGTTAACCCTAAGTTCTTAATGGGGTTCCAAGCTCAAGAGGGACTTCAATCACGACCTTAACTGAAACTTTACACTTCTAGAATGCAATACGAGTCCAGATCTGAAGTTTTCATCCAAGGGGAGTCCATATCTCAAATTTTGAATCATAAAAGGCTCCAAAGAAGGCATAACAAGCATAAAGGAGGTTATAATGGAGGAATGCACAAGGTTATAACTTCATTACCTGAATGAAGAATAGATGTTAGCTAACTCCTGGAT